GCATATAGGACTGTTGCAGGGATGCAGCTGAAGTCAAAAGGACTCTGAACAGGCGTCGCTTTTACTTTTGATCCCTGGAAAGTTTTAGGAAATGCTAAGCACAACAGCACTTTCCTTATTTTCCCTCTGTGCTGCGGGATCATAGTTACTCTCTGGAGCTTCACACTACGCCTATGATGAAGGTCAGATCATGACCCCTGATGGCTGCAAGGTCATAAGAGGCATTTCAAATGGAAATTGATAGAAAAATAATGATGAACCTCATGCATGGTTCAAATTAAAAGTACAGTTTTGTTGACGCAAGATAAAAACCTAAGCGTTGCTTAGTTGTAAGATTTACTTTCTTCATATAAATGAAATTCGATGAGAAATATCAAACATTTGCTATTTATTTGTAATAATAACAAGCCTTTACCGACATGACAAAGTGTAAATAGACTCCTTTGTGACACATTTACAATCTGTTTATTCTACAGTCATAACACAAATGTGCAGGTGGATTTTTCAGTCTTTGTAGCTGCTTCACGGTTGTAAGACATTTATTTACACAGAAAACACTGAGGTGTTTGAAAAGCCGGGAGGGCGGTTCCATCAGATGGAGCTGACACAACATGAGGTGTGTTTTCTCTAGTATGCTGTCAAAAAGGCTTTTGTTAGTGAGAACAACACAAACAGTACTGTAAGATGTTTTGTAAATTCAGTAAAGCTTCTTTTCATCAGCCGACTGTCACAATTGCTGTCACTTTTCTTAGCTTGTTCTTTTTTTTCTCTCATCTTCTCTGCTGCAGTAAAACCCTGCTGCCCCTATACTTCATGACTGTCATCTGTCTCTGTCTTTGTGTTGTCAGCGAGGTCAGAGGTCGGGCAGTTAGCTGCAGCTTTGCCAGATTGGAATGGCCCAGAGGCAGAAACAGAAAGAGGCAGAAAGAGAAAAGGGAGAGAGAGTAGACAAATACATGGAAAAGCAAGTTGTGCATGTGAGATTTTAAGGACTCTCACCTCAGTGAGCATTATAATCAAATGAAAGGGATATTAATTTTACCAATGTAAATACAAATTAACGCTGTATAGCATGATACAGGGTTGACATTGAATATGTTGCAGTACTGTGAGCATGGTGATACATTGCTGGATGGATTTTATATATCTTTTTCATCAAATTCTAAGACAACTTTCAGGACACAAAACCATTAATGATCAAGTATAGAAAGTCACTTTTTCATGCAATCAGAACAATGTAATCTACGTTGTATCACAGTCCCTATAACACCATAACATTTTGTGCAATTTGAGCAAAGTAATTAACATTTCACTATAAATTACAAATAAAATATCACACATACAATTTATTTTGTAAATCAAACATTTTCTACACCTTGATCAAACATAGAATGAATCATGTGACCTTGTTTTGAATCTATTTGCATCAACATGCTGCACCAGACTCCGCTCTTCTGGAAAAGCTCTCCACGTGATTTTGGAATCTGGCTGCATGGATTTTCTCCCTTCACCCTGACTGATGTTTGGTGATAAGGCCCTTCTCGCAGTCAGTGTTGCAAATAATCCCAAAGGTGTTGGATGATATAGAGATCATTGCTCTGTGCCAGGCCAGTCAAAATCTGCCATGGCAAACATACTGTGTGTGAATCTGTGTGCACGTTGAAACAGGAGAGGGCCTGCACCCAACACAATTAAGATTTACCTCTGTATTAAAGGGATAGTGGAAATCCGCGAATTTTGGGTTTAACTTATGTATTTTTATTAGGGCCGGGACTCGATTAAAAAAATTAATCTAATTAATTAGAGGCTTTGTAATTAATTAATCGAAATTAATCGCATTTTGAATCACATATAAATATTTGACCTGAGAACAGTGAGAAGCAATTTTTTTTACATGGATTTTAGTATACCATTAGGCGCATTCACACCGCAGTACTTTTCCCACAAAGGTTCATGAGAACTTAGTTCATGAGAACTCTTTGAACCTGGGGGTGGATTAGGCAAATGAAGCCGCTGACGTCACTTCTTCTTCTTCTGCTTTGGGTTTACTGGCAGGCCGCAAACCACTTCACGGCGTATACTGCCGCCCAAAGTCCCCGGCCGGAAGTCCCCGGAGTTGGGGACTGGCTTCAGTAGAAGCTGCTGGGAGTCCCAGCAGCCTTCCGAGTAAATCGCCAGAACGCCGACACCTCCTCATCTCCACCGCTCCCATGTTTTATTTTGTGTTGCCATAAGTTAGTCTCTCTGCGTTTCTGCGCTGGGCTAATGCTAATAATGCTAATGCGAGGATAATAAAATGGCGGCTTCACAAAACTTTTTGGGAGTTTTACGGGGCGTGGTTTGTAATCCGCCCAGCCAATCAGAAATATAGCTCTTTTCTCACAAGAGAGCCGTACGAAAGTCCCTGCTTTCGTGGGGGTAAAAAGGTTCTCATGAACTAATTTTAGTACCGGCTCTTTTTGGTGTGAACGCGATAAAAGAGGCTAACGTCCACACTAGCTTCCACACTAGCTGCTATATGTTTTGCATTGAGGTGATACTTGAGGCTTGATGTGCTGCGGTGATATGCGAATTCCTTTTTGCATAATTTGCACACAACCGTGCTCTTATCGACGCTTCCATCCGTCCGTTTTTTAAAACAACATTTCCCACTGTTGTTCACTGTGGTTTGTTGTTGTCTGAAGTCATGAACGTTAGTTGGTGCTCCAGTATAATCGGTACGCCTGAAACTCATCCAGTGAGAAACGTTCCGCGGTGCAAAAATAAGTGCGATTAAAATGCGTTAATTTTTTTAACGCGTTAATTTTTGTGTAATTAATTAATCTTAATTAACGCGTTAAAGTCCCGGCCCTAATTTTTATTAAAAAGAAGCATATTAAACTATTTTTTTTAATTTCATCCGCCTAGTTTCATTTTATTTTCAATTTTACTGCGCCCTCTCAATGAAACGAAATACTTCGGGAATCGTCGGGAATCTTCGGGTGATGACGAGAGCTCAGGAAGACGGGCACAAACAATGGCGGACATTCAATATCATTTGCATGTGAATAGCCGACCTTTATTATGGTGAATAGATGTGTTTTGTATGGCTGTAGTGCGACAGAAAAATTATACGTGACACAACGACATTGGATTAACCTTGAGATGCGTTTTTATTCCGTTGAACACAACTTTTGATCACAAATCAAAAAAGGTAAGACGTAATTATTGTAATATTTTTGGAACCGGATGTTGTTTACTTTCTCTTTTCTGGCTGATAGCTCCAGGAATTCGAGGTCTTACAGTGATGACATTACACCTGTGGAGTCTCAGCTTTAAATCGTATATCTTGTTTGTGCAGTTAAGATAGTAATAAGGGCATTTCTACCGTGTGTTGTGTGTAAAAAAAGCGTTAGCATTAGTTAGCATTGTTTCGCTCAATGCTAATTCAAAGGCTTGGTATTACTCTTGTGTTTTTTCTAGCTAACAATTGTTCTTATTGTCAGTTAGCGGAGTTTCTTACCTTTAAAAGGGTATGAAACATTAATAGTTTCATAAATGTTAAGAAGCCCTGAGACATGTGAGAGAAAAAAAACTGTGGGAGGGGTCCACTGGGGGGACCTTCGGGCTTAACTGGTTAACAATGATTAATATTTGTAAAGGCTACAGGTGATCTTAAGATGCGTGAGCTATGCTTAGGGACCTACCAGTCAAGATTATTTGTGCGTAGGGGTGCATCATCTGGCGCCTGGTCCTGGTCATCCTCGCCATTGCCCATGCCGTGAACCATCACCTCGGGCTCGGGCTCGAACAAATAAGGACGTAAAGGTCCATCGTCTGGCTCAATATTGTCACCATCGTCGCTTACTGAACCGGATTCAGATTCAGTTCCTAAAACGACATTTTCGTAGGAAAGCCGAGAGGATGTTTCTGACTCGCTATCATCACTGGATACCTCGTACAATCCTTCTTCTTTGTCTGGTATATTTGCCCTTCCACGTTCATTCTGCATAGACGCCATAGTTTGTTATCGTATCGTCTTCCCGAGTTTTCGTGACTTCCGGTTAGGCTGAGAAACATTTCGTTTCTAAAAAACTTCGGGGAAGCTGCAATAAAGTGCTTCTAACATGCGTAAGGCAATTATTATATTTTTTTAATCAGGTGTGATTGTTTTGGTACGTAATTATGCTTGTATATAAGTTAAAACGAAACTATTTGAGGTTCCATTTCCACTATCCCTTTAAATAATAGAGACCAAAATAAAATGTGCAAACAGTATTGCTCACATACTGTTGTCCCTATTGTGTTAGTAGATGACGTTTTTACCGAATCGTTTCCATTACAACCCACCATACATCGTGCTCCATGACTGGTACCTTGAATGATTTAGCTTTAGCATCTGCTGTCAAACAGACCCATTCAGCTTCCTGCTCAGACTCATTCATGTGGCTTTGACCTTTTGACCTCCAGCTTACTGAGCCGAGACCTTCACTTCCTTCTCTTCTTTTCACTCTTTTCTTTCTCTCTCTCTATTATCATTTAATACTTCTGTCAACAGACACATAGAGAAAAACAGACAAAAGCCTCAGAAGACAGAACTGCACAAATGTCTCATCTTGTCAAAGCTCTATTTTCTCATCTTATCACCAAACATGAAACATTTTAAATCCTTTTTTCCTCGTTCCTCTTGATAGCCAAACACAACATGCATGAGACAGGTGCCAAACAGCAAGATGACTCAGCGTTTTTCTAACATTTTCCCTAAGCATAATCGTACCTGTCAGGTTCTTGTAACTCAGCATTTAACTGTCAGAGTCGCTAATGATCGTACTCTTCACATCAAGACCGCATTCATCTTCTCTGTCTATCCTTGAAAGTATTCACCTCTTGAACTGTGTTTGGAGAACATACCTGCCCCTCCCCCCCTCATCCTGCTGCAGCGGGGCCCGAGGCACGTCACCATGTGTCAGTCACCTGCATACCTGTGTCTTGATGATGTGCGTTTGCTATTGTTTCCACAGGAGAGTTGACGGCTCAAGAGGAACCTGACTAACAGCGGTGTGACGGGATAAAGACGATAAAGCTCTCTCTATAGTTCAGGTGAGAGGGCAAAACTACAAAGAAATGAAAGAGTAAAGTGCTTCAGATGAAAGGTGGCTGCTCTCTGCAGTCACTGCAATCCTCAAGTCGGCCTTTTAACTCAAAGAATAGTTTTATATTAATTATATATAGCTTAAAATAAAACCTAATGATGTAACTGGTCATCATTTTCGGTAGTGAGGAGACCGCTTATTAGTTAGTTTGTTTTTTGTGATTGAAATCAGCAGAACCCTGATTTTAGGGGTAATTATTATATAAACAAAATGTGTATTAATGTTGTCTTTTTGTGTAATTGTATAACATGTTTTGGTGTTGGATGGTATCCTGCATTACACTGTGTTTTTCTACTTTTACAAAGGATATTAGGGAGTAATGCCGATGGTAACTTTGTCAGTTATGTGAGAATATGTGAGAAACACCAAATTACATCTCAGTAATTCATGTTTTATCTTATTAAAATGTATTTTTCAATTTCCTTACTGTTTTAATTGTTAACTTTCTGACATTGCCTGTTTTGTCTCATTCACAGGGCTTTTTCTATTGACTACATACTCATCGTACCGACTGCAGGTGAGTTTTTCATGACATTCTTCACTGAGGTTGAAAGTGGAATTTAATGACTTCTCTGTCACATTTTGTGCTGTGTGTCTTCCGGTAGCCGCCACATAATTGTAACTAAGCCTTAAACTCTGTGATGCTCATTATAAACTAATTATCTGAACTTTATTTTCCTTATTATTAAAACCAACTGAGTCTTTTCATATTTGTTTTTAGTGCTAAAATTTGCAAAAAAAGGTACATCTATTCAGATTTTACCAGTATACAGTATGGACCCCACCCACGGTACTGTTTGTGTCAATAATTCCTTTGTTGTTAAAGAAAGTGTTTGCATGTTTTACATTTTCAATGAACTTCCTCGTCCTCTAACGGTGACAAAAACAGATGTTCTGTTGTAACAGATAATGAGAACGAGAACCTGTCCCCAAAAGTTTCCTCATTACTCCGTCCTTCTTTAAAACCAGCTAACGGGAAGAGGTGTGATGGCTGCGTACGGACAGACTCAGTACGGCCCCGCCCTGCAGCCTGCGGGGCCGTACGCACCCTACACTCACCACACACAGGGCTACAGCATGCCCTCCTACAGTGAGTACACACAACCATACAGTGATGTGGATGCATTCAATGTTTTGATAAAGCATCAGATTCTGGAAGTTAGTGTCTATCTGTTTATTTCTTTAAAGCGCTCACTTTTATAAAACTGTATTTCCATTTTTCATCTGCAACATAGCAACTTTGTAATACAGTGCCAGACACAAAATAAAGAAGTGTGCATGTTTTCCAATGTTTACACCCAAACCTCCCCCCTGTACAGAACGAAACAACAGCACTAGCACAAAAACATTTAAAATAATAAACAAACAAAAAAAAATATGTTGAAAATTCACATTAAATTAATAAAGATAAAACAATGCTAATTGATAATAGTGCAGATAGCAAATCTGTACTAAAAAAAAAATCAGTTGAAGGTGGGGTAGGTAAGTCACTTCAGAAACACTGTTTGTTATATTTCATGGAATGCTCTTAACATCCCGATAGCAATGAATATATGAAATGCTTTGACAATAAATACATAAAAAAATGTCATCTGTGGAAGCCGTGGCGCTGTAAAAATCACGAACAATTATTTTAGCCGGCTCGGCTAAAGTAACTGGATGGCCTACCTGCCTGTCAGCCTTCTTCCATCTTGTGCACAAACTTATCTCGTGCCCTCATTGGTCATGTGCGCGTTTGTGTGTGTTGGGCTGCGTACTTTCAAATTCTAGCTGGTTTCTCCATTCTTACCTACCCTACCTTTTAAGGAAGAGTTCACAGTTTTAGCGTTTTCATGTATGGAGGCAACAAGACACAATAACAATATAACACATGCTGTAGGACATTAACTGGGAACTCATTTGGGGGAAACAATGTAGACAGTTATGTAATGAATACAAGAAACCACAATATTGTGTTACCAAGATAGATTGTTATACATGTGTATGTGTTATTTGATCCCCAGTGGTGAGACAGACTTGGTTAACATTAATCTGCATGTTGGCTAATCTTTTATGTAACCTAGGAAATTAATCTTATGCTCATTCGATGGCATCTCTTTGTCCTTAGACATTAAAACAGAAGAAGGCCTGAGTCACTCTCCAGGTCAGACAGGAATTCTGGGATACTCAAACTTCAGCAGCACTCCTCCCGGTCAGAGCCTCTACAGCTACTCACACGGTAAGTCTGAAACACTGTGTGTATTTAATGTATGGACACGCTAACACACACACACACACACACCTTATATACACCATCTTTGATTTCAAACTTAATAGAAGGAGCATCCATCCTGGTGCTTCCTTCCTCAGCTCTATACTCCTACTCCTCTTCTCTCTCTTCACTTTTTCTCTTTCCCTCTCCTTCTCTGTGCCACACCTGTTCTCCATTAGCTGCGGTCTGGACTCCTGGCGTCAAAAGTCTCCCCACCCCTCCTCTTTTCTCGGGGTCAGGCCCCCTTTCTCCACTCAGACCAACAATACAGCATGCAAGCGCTTGTGTCTGTAAGAGAGAAAGAGACAGTGAGAAAACATGTAGACAGAGGATGGGAGAACGGAGAAAAATAGAGGGAACAAAGAGGTGGGCAGAGGGTCTTTGTCGAAAAACAACAACTCAAAAGGAAGTGTGATCAGCTCTCTGCCCACACATGGCCTTGTGTCAGTGTGTTTTTGTGAGTGTGTGTATCTCCTCTGTACACATTCCTCAGTCGTCCGGCGCCCAAAGCATGACTCGCTCAGTGCGACTTTATGGCTTTCAAAGCAGCGTGAAATTGACCTTGTGTGTGAGAGGGGAGAGGTTAAGGTGAATTATACGGAGGGGTGAGGAGGTTTAATGTTGCAGATGGGGGGGGGCGGCCCTGCTTCACTGTACGGATGAGACTAAGAGAAGAGGGATCAAACCGTAAACAGATTAGGTTTGATGCTACATGCTTTATATCCCTCATGCTCAATAAGTGGAATATGAGCCAATGTCTTTATTATAATGGTCCTGGCATTTAAACACAATCTGAAAGCATATTCCATCTTTTGGTTATTTTTGTAGTTTTACATGGGTTATCATAAGAGATTGTACTTGACAAGTTAATTACAGAATCCTGACAGGACAATGCTAATACAAGTCTGACAAGTAAGGAAACATGAAGGAGAATGAGACAGGTTTTCAGAAAGCCAACCATTTCTAGCTATACTACTAAACCACTTTGCTCAAAAATGTCTAATTTCTCAGGATAACTGTATGTACTAATAGAGCTGGTATTGTAGGTCAGCGTCATACATAGGCTGCAATATGTTAGCCAAACTTATTTGGAAAAGAAAAAAACATTCATCTCAGTTTATAGACGGATTTTCTGATCAAACTCCAGTCTGCCATTCTTGATTTGAATGTTGTCTCACATTTTCTGCAAAATCAGGGATCATTACCAAAAACTACAATGTTATCACTTGCAGTTTTACCTCCAAGTAAAGTAGATAAGATGACCCAGAGTGTGTGTACTTTGCTTGTAGTTTTTGCCCTGTCGGACTTCATATTAGTGATTTCACGTCTCAGTGTGACCAGATCTCAGATCTCCCAACAGATCAAGGCCAAAAATAAGACTCAAGTTGTACAATGGAAAATCTGTATTGTTAACCCTATCTTGCGTCATTCAGAGCTGATATAGTTATTTGGGAAGGGCTGAAAAACACCGGTAACAATTGGAGGGGGAAATTGTAACTGTTTTTTCTGTTGACTGTGTTTTCAGCCCTTCATATAACTGTCAAATAACTAACTACATTTGTCCACATCACTTCCTCTATTCAGATGTCCAACATTATATGGGAATGTAAATATTCCTGTGAACACAAACGATATAACATCTTACAAACTGCAAGGACCTCGATGCTCTGTTAGAGCCCGACTGTAGGACAAAACATGTTTTTTCTCAGAGAGTAGTTTGAGTTTGTAAGACACGGTTCCCAAACAAAATACATTTGTTTGAATATTTGTAAGCATAAATCATTAACTGCAACTTCAAACGGTAATAAACTGCCACAACAACCTGATGTTTGTAGGATTTCAGAATGTTTCCATGTCGTCCATTATACTGTACACAACGCTTGAGCATGCACACACAAACACACCACAAAAATACATCCAAACCCGATCCAAACACACAGTTGTACTGCATGTTCAACTGAAACCAAATGGGGACTATGGGAGCTTTTGTTGTGTTTACTCCAGAGACCTCCTGGATTTTTCCTTCAGTCGCTTTGAAGAATGTTGTCCGGGGAGGTTTCAGTGTGGTTCTTCCATTGAGTCATTTGTCTCCTGTTTGTCATGCACTGTGGAATGGAGAAAAATAAATGGGGAGCAGCATGAAGCTTTAGACTGAAGCAATAATGGAAAGTAGAATTGAGTAAGGGAGTCTTTACAAATATCCTGGTTCAGGTCATGTCGGGGAAGAGGAGAGTACATCTTCATTATCGCCACAGGGAAGCTTGTCGCACAGTTCAACAGTTAAAACAAAACCCTTCACAGAAACGAATACTAAATCAACTTTCAACCTGTACTTAAACTACTTTGAATAACTTCCTACTGTACATAAAACACCAAACCAAGCAACTATTTACAAAGGTTCATTGACATGTTTTCTTTTTGGTTCCAGGAAAATTGTATTGCAATGCACACACAAATGTACACAAGTAACTGTCAAGCTATGTCTTGTCAATAAGAGGCCCTGGCTTCCACCCAGCACACGACTCGAGCCAGAACAATGCTGCCAGTTTGTTCACCTAACCTGTTAACCTTACCTGCACGACTCTTTATCAGGAACAAAGAGAAGATGGCAGTTGTGACTAATCTATCTAAAAATCTCAATCAATTTAATGGATATTCAGATTTTCATGGTTGCTAGTGGTTTCATACTTCTGGCACCAATATGACATTGAAATTGTGAGGTCTTGAGTGAAATGTGAACTGTTGGACAGATTGCCATGACGTTTAGTGTTCCCCTCAGGATGAATTTTAATTACTTTGGTGATTCTTTCACTTAGCATTTAGTGCCATCATCAGTTTAACACTTTGTGAATGTTATTACTGAGCCAAACACAAACTAGGAGGGTAAATATGGTAACAATGGAATACAAATTAGACATGCTGCATCGGCCCTGGAGGTAATATAATTGGAGTACATGAGGAAAGACCTCTGCCAAGGCCAATAGTGCATTCAAATGCTCCCTCAGATCATCTCATTTCCCCTTTTGGGAACTGTTCATAAGCTGTAAATTGTAAGGAACATAGATGCTACAAAAAATATGTGTTAGGGTGCCTAACCCAACAAGTATTTATTTTGAGCAAACTGAAAGTAATTTCTGTATCTGCCTTTTGTCTTCGGATAATGCTCCACAATGTAATCTGTTTTTTCTTGGCCTATTTTTTCACCCTTCTACCATGAAGATCCTGCCAGTACTTTTTCGGCAATCAATCCTGCTCAAAGGCAAACGGACAAACCTAGAACATAACCTGCCTGGCTGAGGTCATACTAATTATTCAGACAAACAAACAACATGGATAGACTTGACAGAAGGATGCAGGGTGAGGCAGCGTCACTGTTGGAGGAAATCGCTTGGAGGAAGACATTCCTGCCTTGGCCTGATTATACTGAGAAGATTCCCAGAGCAGCAGCAGCACACTTTCCCACCTGTATTGTTATGCCAAACATAAATCTGACTTCCGGCTCCTGCAGCTCTGAGCTGTCACTGAGGAAGGAGTTTACTGCTCCTGACTTTCTTCACACAGATACTCACGGATCAGATCGTATATTGTGGCATTACATCAGAGGAGGATTCATTGATACAAGATGTAACGCAGTCAAATCTCTCACCAGTTTGTAATTGTTCTCCATCCTGCATGATGAATTATGTCCTGAAAGTCTGAACTTTTGCCATCACATCGTTTCTCAGGTGGTGGTATTTCATCTGGAATTTTTCAAGGCACCCATGCAATCTCGAGTTCAACCCCATTCAACTCTACACAACAAGTGAGTAATGTAACTTCGACAGGATGTTTTACTGCCAAGACATCTGAAGATCCTGAAAACATACATCTTAAACTCTAGCAGTCCTGACAAATAACTTAATTTAGCAACTGTCATGACTGTCATATGTATTAATCATGATGACGACTGTTTGATTGTAGGACGTTTCATTTTGGAATGATAAATGACACTGACTAATTAAAGTAAATGTTTACGTTTTGACAGGAGTTTTCAGCGTACTCAAGCTACAGTCAGAGTCAGTACTCTCCGTATTATAACTCTCATCACTACAACAGCCCCTACATAACCAGCAGCAACATCAGCCCCACTGCCATCACAGCTCCAGTAGCCTATCAGCATCCAGAACACCCCGTCATGCTGCCCAATCACAGCCCAGAGTCGCACACAGGTAAGGAGGGACAAAGCATGTTATTTCAAATTGACTTATAATACCACATGTACCATGCCTTACTCTGAACAAAAAGCACATATAACATGGACTGTACTGTACCAAGTTTGATATATTTGCTTGATTTTAAGAATAAAAGTAATTAAAAAAGGTATTTTCAAACTCGTGTTACATTTTATTTTGCTGTTACAATAAGATAATGTAAACTAGGCGCCCTTTTAAAAAGAAGCAAAGTCATTTATGTTCTGTAGGTTAAGTTGGTTTAAGAAACATATATTTTTTTAATGTCATATGCTAATTGTATACCCTGCTATGGATCCAAACACCTTTGGTCCAACACATCCCATAAAGTATTCTCTGTGCTCGGGGCTTAACAGATTAAAAGAGCGCCCCATCAACACGCTCTTGAGTTAATAAATCAAACTCTAAATCTCGAAGAAGGTTGTTTTATAGAGTTTGTTTTATGTGTGTGTGTTCTAGGCGAGTACCACCCGCCGCCAAGCCCCCCCACACCAGGTAAAGAGGAGGGGGTCCCAGCAAGAAGGGGGTCGGATGGGAAGTTGAGAGGGAGGAAAAGAGCCAGTGACCCTGCCCCACCTCTGGACTCTGACATTGAGGTAAACACACTCTCACACTGTGTTGAAAATTATCAGCATTTCTCTACAATATTTATCTTTCTCTCCCTCACACGCACACACTCGCGAGGTTAACATTACATATCTGTTATTTCTCTGCAGCGCGTGTTTATCTGGGACCTGGATGAAACCATCATCATTTTCCATTCGCTCCTCACGGGAACCTTCTCCTCACGTTTCGGAAAGGTACGAATATAAGACCCCTCCCTTTGTTATTTACTAGCTCACACTTTGAAAACAGTTCTGATACGGTAGATAGGCACAGTTTGGCATAAAACCCTTGCATCAACAAACTAACCCTTGTCGTCATAAAATCACCCTTTGTCTCAGCGCTGGAGTGCTTATTTGACTAACAGCCGAGTCCACAACCTTTGGGTCTCATCGCTGAGCATTTTCACATGCTGGCTGTTTTGCCTCTCTGCCCTCTTGTTTCTTTTCATAATGCACCGGGGCTGTTTAGCTACCCGAGCATCCCGCGGCGTGATTGACAGCCAGTGGGACCTTTACATAACAGACAGGCAGCTGACAAGGGGCGGACCGTGGTGCGTTTCTTGGTTTTGGCCGGGGACACGTGTTTTGAATTCTCACGGTCCCCCTGCGGGTTGACACAGGGCTGATGGGAGTTTGAGGGAGCAGCGTTTCTGATCGGCTCAGCCCCTGGCAGGCCATGCATGCTATTGTTTCTTTTTCTTTCTGTTTCTGCCACAGAGGAGGTGGTGGGTGGTGGGGGGGGGGTGAGTGAAAAAGCGAGAAAGAAACACAGGAGAGAGTGAGAGAGAAAGTGGATGTGTTTGAAATGTGACTCATGTGCCAAAAATTCCTGATTCCTCCCACCACCCCAGAACGCCCCGCTGCTGGAGCTCAGCTGGACGGACTCTGACATCAAAAGTCAGAGGGACTGAATGAGTGACAGCGGAAAAACAGATTAACAATCCAAAGCATTAAGACGGCTTACAAGCTAGCTACGCTTTGCCCTTCTTTTTTCTTCCTCCACATATTCTGCTAACTAATCCTACTCTGACAGCCATAATGCTTTTTTTCTGGCATAAGTTATCTTCACTTTATGTCCTGCTTTCTTTCTACTTTTAACAGCCCAGGCTCTTTCCATTAGGGTCAGCCTATTAAACTCTTATCATAAACAAATGTTTTGGACCTTTTAAGTCAAGGCGAATCTGGGCCCGGCGTGCAGGAAAGACTAATGGCTGTGTTGAAAGACAGTTGTTTTCACCAGCTCCGTGAGCCAGAGGTGAATGGAGAACCACATGAGGAGCTGATTCCTTCCCTTGCTCCTCCATTATCTCATCTGTCATACAGCACCCATCAATCCACTCTAGTGTGTTTTAATACATGAGTAAAGGTGGGAACTCAGGTGTTTTAGTCTTTTCCTTCCTCCTCTTTTTCTTTTCTTTTCTGGGATTATCAGAAATAGGCTTTATCTAAAAAGACCAGCCCTTGATTTTTTTAATGGGAGTGATTATAGATAATTATTTCAATTATTAGACAAGAAGAACAATCCTCTCTTAAGCCTTTAACTCCACCTTCTTCATCCTTTCAATTCATGTCTTCCTCTTCAGTCCAGTGTTTCTTAATCCCTCCTCTTCATAATGTTCTCCTTTAGACCTCCTACTCCTCCTACTGAACTTTTCCCGCCCTTCGTCCTCATTACCTTTTTTCTCTTTACACCTTTTTTTAGAAGGTGGGGTATTTTGTAATCATCATGATTAATCCTGCTTTTGTTATCAAGACCTTTTTTACCATTTCGAGCCCGAAGACGCCTCTGCTTGTCATTTAGAGATGCATTCATCTAAAATGTTCACCTTTGGCTGACAGCCCGGCCTGTGCTTCTCCTGTCTGTCTGCCAAAGACAAGCCAACGCTGCCATCAAAAAACACACCGCACACATTCATACACACACCTGCTTTTGTAGTCCTCAACAACAACACGCCCAAGCTCTTTGTCAGCCTCACTGCCCGCACATTATGATGTATGTGTTTCTCCGGGTCATGATATATAGTTTGCTTATTAGGAAACAAACTGAATTTGGTGTAATGCAACACCTGCATAGTTAGAGAAAACATGAGGAGAGATGCAGGGAGGTGTGAGGGTGTCCTGTGTACACAATCTCACTCAAGTTAAAATAAAAAAGCATTGACATCAAAATCCAACAAAAATAAAAGTTACATTTTTTTAATTTTAAAATAAAATGTCAGAATCATATTAAATATTACAATATATTAAATACTGGATTATGATGCATAAGTGTGTCTATCAAATCTAGTTTAGTTGAAGTGTGTTTTATTTCCTTTGAATGCTCCTAATCTGTAAAGTAACTAGTAGTACTAGTATTAATACTGTTCTCGTTTCAACGTATGGATATTGAACTGAACAGCCAGCTAAACTCTCCTCAGCATCATTCCTCCAAGGAACAGGCAGGTGTTGTATTTGGCAGGAATTGTAATGATAAGAAGTGTGAAACTGACACAGAATACATTTCTTCATAAGTACACATAAAACAATGATATGTTCTTAACAATTAACTTAAGCTGTTAGATAAATCTAGTGAAGTGAAAGGTACAATATTGGCTTTTAAAATGTAGTGGAGTATGAAGTAGAGAAAAATGAAAAGTAGCCCAATATCATACTTAAGTAGAGTACTTGAGTAAATGTTCTACATTTTACAACGAAAAAGGTTAAAGGCCGCCATAAACACAGAGCAAAACGTACTGATGTAGCTAAATCCACTTAAGTTATGTAGTTACATCACATAGACTTACTGTTTTGTTTAAGATACTCTTATAGATTTGATCATCATTCCAGTCAGTCACAGCCAGTCAATTTCATTTCAAGCTAAGGAAAAATCAAAAGGAGAAAATAAAAGACTTGCTTATTTTATGAATACAAATATGTTCCTAATTGTTTTATTACCGTATTCAATTGAATAGTGCAATGGACTTAATGATTTAAATTGTATGTGATAGTTTAAATAAGGAAAAGGTGCAGTACAGGGAAAAAACTAGACTAAATGAAGAGAGCCAAAACAAATAGGTCAGAAAATAGTTAGTGGAGATAACAATCTGCATAGTTTGATTGACAGATACATATTAACACTGGCCCCTCCCTGAAACCTGCTTATGTCAATCCAGTTGATGAGTTTGAAAAAGAAAGCTTTTAGGAGAGACAAGCAGGCGGCGGCACTGACAAGGCGGGAAGTGACAAGTAATGATGTTCAACAATCCAACTAACTCATTATTCTCTAAATACCAAACCTCTTAAGCCATCAATCTCAGTATGAGCACTTGAATTTATAAAAAAAAATCTCTATTAAAAGGGGGCGTGGCCCTGCAATGTTTCGAGATGTTGTTCTGACCTCATTTCAGGTCAGGCTATACAGTATAGTAAACAAACCATTTTTTCTTGAATTAAATGTGTTGAGTGTGTGACGGATAGACAGATAAGAGAGTTTACTGTGTCTGAGGGAAATGTGTTAGCATGCCTCAGGACATCAATACATACATATCCTTGATTAAATGTTATCATGATTATTATTATTATCAGTGTGGCTTTTAAAGTTATTCATTTTAGAGAATGTGTGTCTCTGTGTTCAGGACTCCTCAAAGGCGGTGTCTCTCGGTTTGTGGATGGAGGAGATGATCTTCAACCTGGCCGACTCCAGACTCTTCTTCAACGACCTGGAGGTGAGTTTCAATTTGACTCATAATTTAAAACCTGTGAGGAGAGCATGTTCAGAGAATTACTCGATTTCATTTTTATTTTATTTTTAACTTTGTTTGTTTGCCCCCTTAAACCATTATACTGCACATCATGCGTTACTTCACACAAAAACCTTACTTATTATTTATTTTATAATAAATTCTGCCCTTTATCTCAGTTTTTTTGCCACTTAAAGATGTATTTGAAGAAAGACAGGAAATATCAGCAGTGAGTTACTTTCCCCATGGAAACAGGTTTTACATTTGGCTGCTGTTGTCTTAACTGTATAAAGCACAGTGGAAATCCCCTCACACAACTTCTTTATGTATTAATACGTACTGCTCAATTTTCCAAATAATTTGCCCTCCTCAGTTTAGCAGGAATATGAAAAGGAGTTTTTGTTAAAGGCTGGCTTAAGTGCACAGTTAGACAAAACCTGGACACTAGTAAAACCTCTACAAAACGATGACGATGCGGTTTTATTACGTGTAAGTGACTGAAAAAGTTTATACGTTTTTCAGGTTGAATTCTTTAGCCTTGTTCTGACAAAGAAAAAAGATTAGAGAGGGACGGAGGGAGAAAGAGAACAAGTACACTTTGTGCAGTAATTATAGGTGTGTGTCTGAGCATCGGAGAGGAAAATTAGTCAAATGGGAGGAGGAACATTTGAGAGAAGGAAAAGGAGCCAACAAAGCCATTTGCAAACCCCGGTCCTTACCCCCTCTTTTGTTGTCAGGGCTCAGTAAATCTCAAAAGCAACTGCTGTTAAGTCTTAAGGTACAATCATCCTGTCCTTCCTCTGTCAGTAGCTGCTTCACTGAGGGTTATCGCTGCTGTCATAACTCAAGTACTACCAGAAGAGATTAAATAATTGCTATAATCAAAGTCAGAATTTCCAGTAGAAATGTTCCTATATAAAAAAGCAGATTTGTATGGCTGTATTCCACTTGAGTTGAAGGTCTTATTACTGGATTAAAATGACAATGCTCTGGAGGGCCCGAGTGTAGCTGCTCTGAGTTTCAGAGCCTATAAACCTCTAAAGGGCTCGTTTGTATTGTATGGTCAGTAGAAGCTGCTCTGCAGGGGCGGATGGCACCTGAGTGGGCGGTGGGTTGAAGCCCCTGGGAATAGAGTTATGTGGAGATGGAGGGAAGATGAGGTAGCGTCTCCATCTGGCTTTAAGAGGGCTGAAAGGTGATAGGAGAGCCTGTCTGTCCCGGGTCGTTGGGTGACAATTAGAAGTTAGACTAGGACACTAATGTGTGCATGGATGTGTGGTGTGTTATGTTAGTTTGAAAAATAGAGGCTTTTTAAGAGATTTTTTCAAGAGAAAGTCATTGTTAGATTTACTGGAGTATTTCCTCCTGGTCCACTATCACTTTTTTATTTCTATTGAGATAACGCCATGTATTTTTATGCTGCTGCAACACAGACAATTCCAAAATTGGGATCAATAAAAAAAAGTACTTCTTATATTATTATCTCTATCTTATCATGAAAAGGGGCTTATTTTAGTTTTCTTCATTTCCAATCTTAGTGACTTCTTTCATTTGTTTCTGATTTAACTGCATAATGCTGAAGGTGTTTTTGTAGCAATTATTTTAAGCTATAGTGTGGTTTGAATGCCTTTGGTTCCTGAAGCATCCAGTAGAGAGGAACAAAAAGACAATGAGTCTTTCTTCAGAGGATTCTTTTAACAAAAAAGTACGCAGTAAAAAAAAAAAAAAATCTTTAATTTACGGCGTGGTTTACCAGCATTGCACAGTCATGTTGACTGTCCTGTATGTCTGGCGCCTCGCCGTCCCGTGTCTCAATACCTTATTTCCTTCTTCTTTGTCTTTTATTTGAGCTCTTTTTTATTTGTATTCCTGTAGCTGCCATCACCCCCGCAGGCTCCCCTAAAGAGGACAGACCTGCCTGTACAGCGCTCCACTCTGAAATGGATCTCTTGATATATCCGCTCTCTTTTTCATTTCCCAGGAATGCGACCAGGTTCATATTGATGACGTGGCATCGGATGACAACGGACAGGACCTGAGGTAAAGTGCTGCTGCTGTGTTACTGTACTCCGTTCTGACAAGGCTCGTGAACCAGACTTGCCCTCGGGTTTTAGTGCACAGGAGGAAGAAGCAGGGAGATGAGACAAAGAGTTTGTGCGCGTCTGTGTGTGTGCATGTCTTTTATTTCCCCGACTTCCACAGCCATATAATATGTCACAGGATTATCCAACGCTTTCATATCTCATCGAAATATCTCTTTATCATTCCCTTTGTCTTCTTCGGTCCAGACGTTTTATTGCTGAAGCACTTTAGGATACTTTTAGGGGTGATTTGAGAAAGAGCCAGACTGTACCGAAGTACCTTTTTTTTATATTACACTTGGCCCTTTTCATTCTCAAAGATGTTTTAATATTTATACTGCCCTCGCTGAATGTATAAACAGTACTTCATGGTTTCTTACTGACAAAGCTTTTTTATTCAAAACTCAGTTTCAACGATTTCCAATTTTACAGGGTTTCTTATCCCTGAAATTCTTGTGGTTACACTGGCACACTTCCCTTAATGTGATGAATGGTTTGAGAACTACATTCTATTCATAACCTGAAGCTTGAATCAATTCCTACAGTTGTACCTATAGCTTCCCCCCTGAAACACCAATGCTAGTGCTTCTATAAGGTGCTCTGGAGAAATGCAGTTTGCTTCTTTGTGATCTACAACCTGACGGCTTCCTGTTTTGTGATCCTGCAGCACTTACAACTTTGGGTCGGACGGCTTCCAGAGCCCAGCGGGGGCCGGCTCTCTGTGCCTGGGGTCGGGGGTTCACGGAGGAGTGGACTGGATGAGGAAACTGGCTTTTAGATACCGCAGAGTCAAGGAGATGTACAACACATACAATAATAATGTTGGGGGTAAGCTCCGCTCACATTGTTTTTAACAGTGGACCGGCAAACTGAATATTCAGATTTGTCTTTTTGTAAGAGCAACCACATTTTCAAATCTAACAACATTATGATTATTTTGACAATTTTGTTTTGTTTTAAATAAAAAGAGAATCAAATGTAATATTTAAAATGATTGCCCTTTCTAATATATCAAATTGCAAAAGAAAAAATATGATTTTGCTCTGATATATTTCCGGTTGTATTTTTTTTTATTTATTAAAAAGAAAGATTTTTCATCACTATCGATACATATACATTATTAACTGCGGCTCAACACCAGATGGAGTTAATTCTGGATTATTCTGATTTGTTTTTCTTTCCTTTAGCTGGTATCAAGTTATAAAAGTTCCTATTTAGTCAGAATCCTTTTTTTTTTCTTTCTGGTGCATTCAAATCAAATCAAATCAAGTTTGATTTATATAGCTAATTTATAAACGATTTATGGTCGAGCCAAAGTGCTGTACATATAATAAAATTAGCCTACAGTAGAGACACCAAACCTTTAGTCGTGTTGAAGATGATTTGAGTATTTTAACAACAAACAGCAATATGGTTGATTACTGACACCTATTCATTCAATTGTCATAAAATAGCAAAAAAAAGGACACACATTCAATTGTCATTTAGAATTATTAGTCAGACATTGTTGTTGAATAAAGACCTTTGTGTGCTGCTGATTGTTGTCAAAATAAGGTTTTGTAACCTCTCTGAAATAATTACATTTCTTTACACATTAGAGCTGTAAAGGCTCACATCCTCCCTGTTTGGTCTCAAAGACTAACCGTATACTTTTTTCTCCCTGATGGGCAGGTTTGATGGGCAGCCCCAAGCGAGAGGAGTGGTTACAGCTGAGGAGAGAGATGGAGGTGCTGACCGACCTGTGGCTGACTCAAGCTCTCAAAGCTCTGGCTCTCATCAACTCCAGGTCAGTTTGTGCTCACTTACTATTGGCTGATAGCTGTACAGCATTTAGTATTTCTGTGATTTTTCTCCATATCCCATTAAATGTCATTCAAGGTGTCATAACTAACGTGTGTGTCCTGTCCTGTTCCAGGCCTAACTGTGTGAATGTGTTGGTGACTACCACCCAGCTCATCCCAGCGCTCTCCAAGGTGTTACTGTACGGTCTGGGCTCTGCTTTCCCCATAGAGAACATATACAGTGCCACAAAGACAGGTGAGGGCAATATAGGGGAAATGGGTTCAGGGAGAAAACATTTTTCCTGATAATAGCAATATCCTTCCTCAAATGGGCTATTTTAATGTTTTAACTTTCTTAAAAGGCAAAGAGAGCTGTTTTGAGCGTGTCTCTCAGAGGTTCGGTCGGAGAGCGGTGTATGTGGTGATAGGAGATGGAGCGGAAGAAGAGTCCGTAGCCAAGAAGGTATAACTCAATCTGGTTTTTTTACAACTGTGACTGCTGAAAAAACGGCCTCAAACTAATCAGTTAACTTTTAAGAGACACTTGGTTCTGAAGGTTCTGTGTCTGACTCTAACACTCTAACCTTTTCATTGAAATGTCACACTTTTTCTTAAACTTGGCAAGCATTAGGCTTTTGTGCATTAAAGGCCAACATTTTATCCACATGTACTTTGTCACACACTGTAATCCCCCTTCAAAACCACAGTCCATTATTCACATCTGCACTGCATCTGCAGGAGTGCTGAAAGTAATAGTCACCTCAATGTGCTGCAAGTTGCCTTAAGTCTGCATGTTTTACATTAAACCTAGATATAATAGATTTTGATTTTGTTTTTGTAGAAGAACATGCCGTTCTGGAGGGTTTCCTGTCGGGCCGATCTGGAGGCTCTGAGCCATGCACTGGAGCTGGACTACCTCTAGAGGGTGCAGCCGTCACTCTCCGCTCCTCCACCAGAACCATGAGAAGCTCCTGACCTCCTGAGAGCAGCTAGTGGACGAATCCGCCCCTGAGAGACTGATTCAGAGTCAGTGTTGCTTTTTCAACACGCAGGAGGACAAACTCACTTTAAAGCCAAAGGAACTGTGAGGATTTGGAGCTGCAGTTTATCTATGAGACATCAACATGAGGCCAAAAGCGCTGGACCGAATAAAAGACCAAAGACAAATAAGGGACCAAAGCTTCATAACTAGCCCCAGGGAACTATGGGTAATACTGCAAATACTTTTTAATAACGTTGTTTTTCTTCTTTTAAATTTGCTTCATCTCAACTTTATGAAAGGTGTCCCACTTTTGTCCACACTATGAAAGTGATGCACTGAATGCAAAACTGTACATCCTGTTTATTGAACTTGTTGGATTGGATTTGTTGTGCCTTTTTTTATTTGTTGTGAGACCAAACCTGTTTTCCACTGACCAATACTGTTACAGAAGAAATTAGAAACAAGACTTAACCCTCCTGTTATCCTCAGATTGACTTTACACCCTTTATCCTCTGGGGTCAATTTGACCCCAGTAGTTTACAACTCAAGACAATGATCATATTCAACATTTTAACCAACATGTATGTCTCTGGTGCTTTAGGTGTCTTAGTTGACTACCTAAATAACCATTTAAATAAAACATTACCCCAACCTTCCCCCTACAGACCCCTTTATACATCCAGAATTCCTATTATGTGACTATCGAAAAATATATAAATCACCATCAAATCTCACTGACTGAAATAAAATGTTAAAGTAAGATCTTTTTGATGTTGTTAAAGGACCAATAACTAAAGCAGAGGGCCGGGTTTTTTTGCATGTAATAGTCACCTCAATATCATCCTACACAATCAACACAAATATGTGTAAAATATTGACATTTTTACATGTTTTATACTACTAAAACAGCCTGGGGTCAAATTGACCCCAAGGAACACTGATGCGTACAAAGTGCGTACAGGACATTTAAAAAAGATCTTCATGTTCATTTGATGTTTACCCACTAGTCCTCACTAATTAGGAAAAGTCATGAAATACTAAGCAAAGAAATAATGTGAATCATTTGTTTAGATACGTCAAACATTGGTTTAACAGGATAACAGGAGGGTTAAAGGTATATTATAACATGGGATAGATTTTTCCTTCACTATTATTTTAGAATTGTTTAAATTTCATATTTTGTCTAGATAAAAGACAAATAATATTCTCTTCATAGGTAGAGGCTATTGAAAATAGTTTGATTTGTATTTTACCATTAATATGTGAGCTATTTATTATTTGTTAAATTCACAATGAGGTATACACAGTTTGGGAGCTTGGCATAAAAACATCCCCTTCAAAGACCAAAAATGTGCTTATGTAAAAAATGTTTGTCTTGCAGACGCTGTATTATAGGCCGGTGCTTGAATCCTTGCTTTTGATTCTGGGTTGTATATGTTGTCATGTTTTAACTCTCCTTTCCTGTCTTTGTTTCATTTCCTAATAACCTGTTTGTAATATAGATGAACTGGTGCATGTGCCGATTACACTGCCTGTCAGTTTAGCCATGATTTGTATATAATGCTTTATTGTCGATTTTGTTTTGACAGACAGTTAAATAGATGAATACAAATAAATTAATTTCATTCTTGGGAAAAGGGAGTCGAGTTCCATTTCATTTCATAAAGTTACACAACTCTGAGGCATTCGACACGAGGGATTAAATAACAGATGAATAAAAGTTGTGAATTACATATAATCTCAAGAGGTCTGAGAAGCATCTCATTCAGACTGAACTGCAGTGACCTATTTTAGACAAAGATCTCCCCCTTCAGGGCAGAAAGAGAACTGCATACTTACAGAATAAATTGTTTTAATTATTTTATTTATTTTCATACAAATCAAATAACACATTGATTCCAGTTTGTGAAATATGTGGATTTTCACGGCTTGAACACAAAAATAGCAAAATAAATATTTATTAAAAAATATATATAATTTACATTCATATTTATACCATACAAAGCAACAGAAAAACATAAAGTTTGACAGTAATCTGAATGTTTCCACTGCAACTGTTCTGGCATCAGTCGGATTACTTTTTACAATATAAATACAGAATTTCAACAATGCTGACGGTAAGTAAGTATGATGTGACACACAAACAAAAAAGGTATACAAAACAGGATTTAGGCCCTGCTGACAGAGACCATCTGGAAGCCTCTGATGGTGGAGTTGATGTTTGAGAGAGCCAGGCTGGCCTGCAGCATCTTTGCTCCCACCTTGCTGGGGATGAAGGTGATCCTCTGCTTCACACTTCCTCCTGGACGCAGTGGGAGCATCCTGTAATAAGATCAACAAAAAGTTAACAAAATGTAAAAATACTACTACCATTCCTTGTTTGCAATAACTGACGCTAACTTGTGCTAAGCTACAATTATACGTTTTAACCATGTAAATGTCTTAACATGTTGTTTATGTCTTCTAATTCAACACTTCCTGTTATCAAGCAGCCTATAATTACACTTCAATGCCAGTCAATAACTATCTGCTGTGTTCCGCACACAACAGTGGAATATTTTGTGGATTATCCTAGCTAAGCCTGCCTGAAGATAAACATAAGCAGAACAATTTAAGTGTAACAAGCTCACATTCCTCCAACAAAGACGAACTGTACTGTTATGTACGATACACAGTGACACTCCTTTATTTAAGCATTCCTCAGTTTTATGATATTGCAAACACGCATGATATGCACTCAACACGTACAAAAGAAAAAAGATATGAAGGCATGAAATCTTCCTCACCTGAAGTTAACCTTTCCTTGGATCAGCCCGGCCCCGGCTACAGTCAGTACTCCGCTCACCATGTGAGAAAATGCGTTTGTGAAGGTCACTGTGGCAGTCTGCTCTTTGCCAGGCACAATGGATTCTTCATTTGTAATCTGTAGGGGGAAAAACGTGTTAATGAACCCAGATGATTGAAGTAAATGAGCCCTTAAATAACACTTACTGTAAGTAAACCAATGTCCATATGTATGTACTTTCTACAGCTTTAAAGTAAGTAATATATTGAATAAAATCTTCACACCTAAGAGTTGTTTTTTGCTACTTCACCTTCACACATGAGACGTAAATATTCTGGATTAGATCTGATTTTTAAAGATAAGGTGAGTCTCCCTAGGCAGTGGATGTTAAGAAAACAGCTAGTTCTGCATCGATAAAAAAAAAAGAGTACTATAGAAAAGCCAACATGTTTGTAATTTGGCTTAGTTTTGGGGAATTGTTTCCTGACTTTCCAAAAATCATAAACGAATACATGTTGAAAGAGGGGAGAGCTTGTAATGTCATTAGTGAAGTCAAGGGGGGTTCAGTGGAATAGTGCACAGTCTGAGAATTGGAAACCCCCAATCTATGTGCCTTGCGTACACTACTCCTTTGTGTAGCATCTATTTTATTGATCTTTTTTATGTCTTTGAGCACCTCAATACCACAAGTATTATTATGATTACATATTTGATATTGCTGGTTGATTTGGTAGTTGTGTTTTTTAGTAAAAAATTCAAATTCATATTAAAAACATGTTGAATAATTCAAAGTACCTGTATGATGAGCTGAGGGCTGGCAATGTTGAACTCCTCCGAGGCCAGAACCCGCTCCTGACTGTTCAAGTCCTCCAGGACCACAGCCAGGTTGATCAGGTCGTCTCCCACCACGTCCTCATACTCCACCGGGGTGATCTGCTGCTGAATCACCTTGACTGGAAATACCAAGAGCAGAAAGATGTTACCACATAAGCCTTTGAGAAATGAAACTGTGAGTCTGTAGTCAAGAGTATAGTGCAGGGGTACTCAAATACAAATCTTAAAGGTCCAAAATAAATGTTTCAATAAGACAAAGGTCCGTTTATTACGGTCATTCAAACTTTTAAACAATTGCAACAAGATTCTTAACACGAGGTTGCAAAAACAAAAATAATCTGTATGCAGCAGTTTTCATTGTTATTGTGTCTGTGCTTGACCCCTCAGAGTCGCAGTGTAAGAGCTGCACAGTTAGGAATAAAGGCAGCTGCACCCTCTTTCATTCAGCATTCCCATTATTGCTTTATAAATGTATTCCCCCTTGTGTGTCCACTGAGGTTCGTCAGGCCCAACACATCATCAACAAACTCCCCCTTTGCCTCATCATAAAAACTCACAAACACCAGCAACTGAGCATTGTCAGTGGTGTCAGTGGACTCACCCACAGCTAAGGAAATGCACTGTGCATTTTTTATTCCATCACAAAGCTGATGAATCAAATCACCAGCCAGTATTTATGTTCTTCTGGTTGCTGTGCAATCTGAGAGGGGATTTGCTTGATTTGACCTGTTATTTCCTCTTTTTGTTTGCCTTCAACATGGTCGCCATCACTTCAGTCATGCATTCTTTTATACTTCAGTTATTATCCAGTGGAAAGTCCTTACCTACTGGCCTAGTTAAATCAAAGTGGTTACTTTTTTTTGGCTGGGCAGTGTAGTTTTAAACACCGTCTTATTTGACTTTCTCAGGACTTAAAACAGTTTTTTGGGGGGCAGACCCCCTCAAAGAAAACAATATATTTACACACGTAAGGTCATCATCTTAATAGTTTTGTATGCTCATCCGTGAGCAGAGCATCAAGTTGACATGTCTATTACAGCTGAATGCGGCGATTACCATCTTGTTCAGCAAAACGCCTCACAAACGTATTAAGATCAACAGCTTTAGTGCGTTTTGATTCAATGCTGAGTACAGCCATACTGACAGTCTCTTCTCTGTCATTGTAGACCGCAAATACCTCATTCCTTCAGTGCTTGGGTCCGAATGCTTCTCGTTTTGCGCCGTCCAGTTAAAAATGAAATCGCCGCCAAATCGTATGTCCACGCTCGCGCCAGGACCGGGGGAGGGGTTACATGACGTGCATCTTGTGCTGCATTCAGTTGCACTCGGACATTAGAGACTTTCTCTCATAAATGTCCGATGAGCCACAACTTTTCTTTCAAAACAAAGCTGCCAACTGGGGTGGCAGCTGGGGTGGCAAGGCCTATTTTTAGGGTGTCAGTTGCCACCCCGGTAGGTGAAACTAGGCTACTAGCTACAGTACAGATGGAACTAGATGAGCTGTTAACTCTCGCTCTGAATTTTTTTTGTTTTTGTTTTAATTCTCGCTCTGACTTAGACAGGTTGAAAGAGACACACACATTTTTCCCACCCGCAGTCCGCGAAGACCCGCCCTACTGTGCCTCTGATTCGCAGATTGTTTGGGGGGAAAAAACGCTGACTGGATGCTGAATGTGATTGGACCAAAGCGTTGACACACACAGGTGGAACACAGTGGAACAGTCAGACATGCAGAGCGCTGTTTGCAGTGGACATAGCGGATAATTTTGACTCGTTGCGAATGCGTTGTGGCGATGTCTCACATATAATACAGAGAGATCATACATATGAAAAGTATAATTTGCTCAGAGTCCGAGACAGTGGTGGTTCGGTCCGGATCCGGACCGGAGTCCGTAGTTTGAGGATGCCTGGTATAGTGGATTGTTACCTTCCATTGGTCCCAGTTTTACAACACCATGACTTTCCCAGAAGGTGTCTGAGGGGCTGTTGTTGTATTCTTTGGCCTGGGCATTGAGATGAATATTCATCATCTTGGCAACCCTCTGCTTGTTGATGACTTTCACCGTGAAGCAGACAGGCTCCCCAGCAACAGGAGTTTTGTCCAGGCTCAGGACCACCAACACTCCCCCGCACGAGCCTGAGAAATAAACATGAAGAAAGCCAGTGTGTGAGATTACATGCGTTTAAAGATGACAAATCTGATTTATGTTTTCAAACTTCTAAATTACCTCTGCGTAACGTTGAGTCCTCTGACATTCTGGAACTTCTCGATGAAATTGTTGAAGTAGGGCCTTTATTGAAAAATTAGATCAAAATGGTGAGTGTTCATGCCTTGGAGTGAACAATGTATCACATCTCTGAATTAACAATTGAGCAAATGAATGAATTTGGATTTTTGATACATACTTTTGATGTATTTGTAGTCTCCTGTGATGTTCTGCAGCCTGGGAAGCTGATAGCTTTGGTGCAGATGAGGGACCCCACTCTCTCTGTGTCCTTGCTGTAGTTGACCACCTGACCCTCACTCAGTATGACAGAGTGGACGTCTGCGTTCACCGCGGCGTACACAAAGGGGATGTCATAAATCAAGTCAATCCGCCGATCCTTTACTGCTTTGACTGGAGCTGGGCCGCAGCAGAACACTCCTGTGATTAAAGAAGGGAAGAAAATACATTTATAGGGATGTTTGTTCAAGGAAACATGTTCAAACAGGAAGGACCAAAGAAGTGAATAGTTTCTCCCAAATGGAAAACAAGGTTTCACACACACCTCCGCTTCTCTCCTGGGGGGTCGGGTCCAGAACCTGCCAGCCGTCCAGCCCAGAGCCCAGGTCCCTGCGAGTCATCCAGCACTCCACCCACACATGGAAGTTCCTGTAGAAGAAGAGCCAGAATAAGTTATCAGAGAACATGAATATGTTTTTTTTGTGAGAAAATTAAATAAATCTCATCAATGTCATTTGCATATGTCTCATCAAGCCAGTGTGTGTGATGGGGGCTTTGGGGTGTGTTTTGGGGA